CCCTTCATTACACACAGAACTCCCGTTGCAATTGTTTTACCATGTCGTGGCACAGGCGATTAAGGCGCGTCTGGGATCCTTTCGGACGTAGGTTTGAACCCTCATCACGACCCTTGTGGATTTGTTCAAGACACGTCAGCTTCTACCACAGAGTAGCACTTCATTCTATGGCCCGGACCCAGAGCAACAACGGCTGCTAATCATAATGCCGGAACGGAATGAGTAACTCAGATACCATAGAAGCAAACGCAAGAATGTTCAGCTTGCAACGGTGCTACGGGTATCCCCCCTCCCCTGGCAGTGTGGTTGCAGCTGAAGTGGCAGGTGCTCTAAAGTGCCACACTGATACCTACTTCTTCCACTCACACACACGTTTAATAGTACTTTACACTGTATAAAGCGCTGCACTGATGAACCAAGCATCAGAATTTGGTGGAAAGGAGTTGTCGAGGTTTTGGAAGGATTTAGCTCTTTAGGATGATTTCCCCCGAGGATTCAACCGTGGCGAGCGTGGCTTTGGTGTGGCCACGAGCGCATCCGGCCACCTGCTGATGAAAGAGGTGTTCGGAGGGGTCTGTTGTGGCTGGCAAATTGGTACAAGTCTCTCTTCAAGACATATCAGTCAGCTTCCTGCAAGTTGGCCACACCCTCCACGGTGCGAGGAGAGTGGGCCGGGTGGAAGGTAACAGCATGGTGATGGAGACGACAGGGTGTAGTGTAGACAGGTGGAGCCAAGGGAGTGGGATGGAGCCAAGGGAGTGGGGTGGAGCCAAGGGAGTGGGGTGGAGCCAAGGGAGTGGGGTGGAGCCAAGGGAGTGGGGTGGAGCCAAGGGAGTGGGGTGGAGCCAAGGGAGTGGGGTGGAGCCAAGGGAGTTTGGTGGAGCCATGGGAGTGGAGTGGAACCAAGGGAGTGGAGCCAAGGGAGAGGGGTGAGCCAAGGGAGTTTGGTGGAGCCATGGGAGTGGGATGGAGCCAATTGAGTGGGGTGGAGCCAAGGGAGAGGGGTGGAGCCAAGGGAGAGGAGTGGAGCCAAGGGAGTTTGGTGGAGCCATGGGAGTGGGATGGAGCCAAGGGAGTGGGGTGGAGCCAAGGGAGTTTGGTGGAGCCATGGGAGTGGGATGGAGCCAAGGGAGTGGGATGGAGCCAAGGGAGTGGGGCGGAGGTGTATAAGAATAAGAATAAGGTGTGTGTATGTCAAATATCCACCACTTCCCCTGGTGCCCTTGGGAAGTGGGGATATTTGGGGTGTATATATACCTCGAAATCTCTACTTCTTGTAAGGGTCTGATGTGGTGTAGTGGGTTAAGGCGTACTAGTTATATCAGCTACTGGAAGGTAGTTGTGCTTTCTGGGTTCGAGGCCCACTGGTGGGTGTTGTCCAAAGATTGTTAATCTTCACATGTGGTTTAAGCAAGTATGGGCTTATAGCATGGACACGAGTTCTCCCACATTAACAGTGGCTTGATCAGTGATGCCGTCCCGGATCACCCCTTAATGTACACAGAACCATGACCATCGCACCAATAATCGTCAAATAGAGTTCTTAATGATCTGTTGCTTGCGCGTTCATGCAGCTTTCTCACACCTGTAATTAAAACTAAGGGCGGCCCGAGCATGCTCCAGAATTTGATTAAAAACTGTACCCAAATGGATCCATGAGTGTCGTCGGGGGTTGATTAGTCGTGGTGCTTAGTAATAATCACCAGGACTGACCAATCCTTATGACGATCATTGGTGCGGTGGTCGCCTTACTGTGTACGTTCAGGGGTGATCCTGGACGGCATGGGTTCGAATCCTGGCCGGGTCAAATAGAGTTCTTAGTGATCTATGGCTTGCGTGTTCATGCGACTGTCTCACACACACACACACACACACACACACACACACACACACACACACACACACACACACACACACATACACACACACACACTGTATGGAACTAAAGTCCCATACAGTGTATGGGACTTTAGTTCCTTCAATACACTGTTTGGTTTTTTTTTTAAGTATTTGTCATCAGAAATATAGCGTCAGTATATCTAGTGTCGTGGAAATGTAATCGTTGCATGATAAGTGATAACAGTGTATAGTTATTCTTCAGTGGTCAATCTCACAAGGAAATCTTTAGTTGTAAAAATGAAATCTGATACTATTCGACTTTGATCGCCCGCTCATGCATGGCGTTTTATAGAGCAGTCACCCTTCCATCCTGTTTTATTTTCACTATGGAGTAGTCACCCTTCCATCCGGTTTTATTTTCACTATGGAGTAGTCACCCTTCTTTCCTGTTTTATTTTCACTATGGAGTAGTCACCGTTCCATCCTGTTTTATTTTCACTATGGAGTAGTCACCGTTCCATCCTGTTTTATTTTCACTATGGAGTAGTCCACCGTTCCATCCTGTTTTATTTTCACTATGGAGTAGTCACCCTTCTTTCCTGTTTTATTTTCACTATGGAGTAGTCACCGTTCCATCCTGTTTTATTTTCACTATGGAGTAGTCACCGTTCCATCCTGTTTTATTTTCACTATGGAGTAGTCACCGTTCCATCCTGTTTTATTTTCACTATGGAGTAGTCACCCTTCCATCCGGTTTTATTTTCACTATGGAGTAGTCACCCTTCCATCCTATTTTATTTTCACTATGGAGTAGTCACCCTTCCATCCTGTTTTATTTTCAGAGTTGAAAAACCTTGACACTTGGTACAAGCCTCTCCCCCTGGAAAAGAGAAAAACTAAACTTTATTTGAATGCTTGTGTATTCAATCGAGTTACAGACAAATATTTTTCGTTCACTTGCATGAAGCCAGATTCCGTATAGTGATGTTAAGGGTCTCTCACCGGGGTGAGAATACGCTCGAGAGCGCGCGCGCACACACACTCACACACACACATACACACACACACACACACACACACACACACACACACACACACACACACACACACACACACACACACACACACACACACACACTCTCACACACACACACACACACACACACACACACACACACACACACACACACACACACACACACACACACAGAGGGGCCTTGCGGCTGAGTGGATAGTACTTGGGGGTCGTAATCCTAATGGCCCGGGTTCGATTCCCGGCGGAGGCGGAAACAAATGACCAGATTCTTTCTGCCTGATGCATCAGTTCACATAGCAATAAATAGGTACTTTGGAGTTAGACAGCTGCTATGCGCTGTTTCCTCTGTGTGTGTACTTACCTAGTTGTGCTTGCGGGGGTTGAGCTCTGGCTCTTTGGTCCCGCCTCTCAACCGTCAGTCAACAGGTGTACAGATTCCTGAGCCTATTGGGCTCTATCATATCTACACTTCAAACTGTGTATGGAGTCAGCCTCCACCACATCACTTCCTAATGCATTCCATTTGTCAACCACTCTGACACTAAAAAAGTTCTTGCTAATATCTCTGTGGCTCATTTGGGCGCTCAGTTTCCACTCAGTATGTGTGTGTAGTCACCTATTAACTCGTGTATGTGTGTGTGTGTGTGTGTGTGTGTGTGTGTGTGTGTGTGTGTGTGTGTGTGTGTGTGTGTGTGTGTGTGTGTGTGTGTGTGTGCGTGTGTGCGTGTGTGTGTATGAACTCATCTATTTCTGCTTGCGGGGGTTGAGCTCTGACTCCTTGGTGCTTGTTTTGCGTGTGTTTGTGTGTGTGCGCGCGCGCAAATGGCTCTCGTCGTCTATTATACAAAAACTGCTTCACAGCTCTATTAATCGATCCTAAATCTAAATTACCATTATAGAGTAATCATTATTTACATGCTAATGACGCATATTTGACGCTGGTATGAACAGACTGTTCCTACCGAATTAGGTCAACTACACTGGGTATTCCCCATTAATTTCGACACGCACCAGAGTTTCCGGACCCATTCAGCTCTCTTCCACAGTTCCTGGCGATGGACCCATTTATAAGGCCGCCTGAACTCTCTGGTCAATTTTCATTGGAATCCCTGGACCTTCTTTGAAGATATCTGGGAAGCCTTAATGGAAGACATGCTTCTGGCCCCCAATGAAGGATTGGGTCTTTCACTTTACATCCCCCTGAATTTGATCAGGCCTTTGATGTATTCCGCTCCACTGATGTAAAGTTAAATTGAAGTTCCTTCAAATTGGTTATGTATAATTATATATATATATATATATATATATATATATATATATATATATATATATATATATATATATATATATATATATATATATATATATGATGTAAAGTTAAATTGATGTAAAGTTAAATTGAAGTTCCTTCAAATTGGTTATGTATAATTATATATATATATATATATATATATATATATATATATATATATATATATATATATATATATATATATATATATATATATATATATATATTATATATTTATACATATATATATGCGAACAAGCTTGAATGGGCCCCAAGCCAATATGCAAGTGAAAATTCCACACTCCAGAAGTGACTCGAACCCAGAAAACCAGGAGCTCTCTGCAACAGGCTTACATTGTACCTTAACCACTTGGCCAACCGTGACCGTAGAAAAGACATTGATAGCCGAGGCTATGTGTTGAAAATAAGAAATCAGTAAAATAGACCTAACAACACAGATAAAATAAAAAATTGTGAATGAACAATTGGGTCCAGGACTGAGCTGGTCAACTCTGGGTTTCATTTTTCTGAATAAAATACTTATATATGAAAGATGTTAAGGTAGAATCAGAAACAATAGCGGAGGACTCCGCTTGCCAAAGGGGGCAAACCTCCGCGACAAGAGATACCGATAGGCTCACATAACACGGTGTTGAAGGTATCGTGAATTATTCCTCCACTCAACAAGCGAAACAGTTCGAACATTTAAGAAGTAAAACCACCACAGGCGTGAGATCACAGAGGGTAAAGGATCTCTGTTGTTGAGCATAGTGATCCCTGACCTTTGACCTCAGATCTGGTGTTCTTTAGTTCTTGTTTAAATGATCGAAATTGTTATGGTGTTGTTCTCTCGGTACGTGCATCCACTGCAGCTCTCTCGGTACGTGCATCCACTGCAGCTCTCTCGGTACGTGCATCCACTGCCGCTCTCTCGGTACGTGCATCCACTGCAGCTCTCTCGGTACGTGCATCCACTGCAGCTCTCTCGGTACGTGCATCCACTGCAGCTCTCTCGGTACGTGCATCCACTGCAGCTCTCTCGGTACGTACATCCACTGCAGCTCTCTCGGTACGTGCATCCACTGCAGCTCTCTCGGTACGTGCATCCACTGCAGCTCTCTTGGTACATGCATCCACTGCAGCTCTCTCGGTACGTGCATCCACTGCAGCTCTCTCGGTACGTGCATCCACTGCAGCTCTCTCGGTACATGCATCCACTGCAGCTCTCTCGGCACGTGCATCCACTGCAACTCTCTCGGTACGTGCATCCACTGCAGCTCTCTCGGTACGTGCATCCACTGCAGCTCTCTCGGTACGTGCACCTGGCGTTGCTCTCTTAGTTCGTTAATCCAGTGTTATTTTATGGATAAATTCACCAGGAATTGTGAATGATTACATCATATTATGTTTGTGTCTGTGTGAGGCTAATGATGAAGGGTGCCCTAGGTCCTCAATCCCGAGGCCCCTTTTTCCACCTCTCATGATTAATCTGGATTAACATTTCCGCAGCTATTTAAATTTTCATTCTTCTTACATTGATCATTATTTTCACTTTGCCGCAAACATTGAATAGTGTGAGAGCTTCCGCGCTTGGTTATCGGTTTCAGAAATCAAGGTCGCAGCAAAAGGTTAAAGATCAAAACACAAAGGTGTTGCAAAATGTCAAAGTGTCAGAGTTTGAGGTGACGAGCTTATATTATAGCTGGCGAGGCAGTACGGAAATGCGGATGGAAGTGAGGAAAAGGAGATGGAAGAGGAGAGAAAGAGGCGGTAGAGGTGATCGGAATGTATGTCTAAGGTCAGAGGGGAGAGATTAAGGGTTTGGGGAAGAGGGAGGGAGCTGAGAGATAGAGGGGGGATGGGATAAAAAGAGAGATTGATGGGAAAGATGACGGTTGTGAATGAGGCGAATTGAGAGGATGTAAGACAAAGGGAGATAGTACGGAAGGAAAGAGAAGATCGATAGGAAAGGTTGAGGAATTCGAAAATTGTTCTGTGAAAAAGGCATGTGGGCGAGAGAGTGAGTGAGAGAGAGAGAGAGAGAGAGAGAGAGAGAGAGAGAGAGAGAGAGAGAGAGAGAGAGAGAGAGAGAGAGAGAGGAGAGAGAATGAATGAATGAATGAATGAATGAATGAATGAATGAATGAATTGTCATCCACACTTCCGTGGAAATAAACACTCCACTCATCTAGGCTCTAGGAGACTCGAACCGTGAACCCCAAGCATGTGAGGCCGAGGCTCTATTTCCGGCCTCAGTGGTTCAGAGTTACGCCGCTATAGATCTTCTGCTTCACACGCGCGGGGTCCCGGGGTTCGAGTCTCCTAGAGCCCAGGTTAATGGAGAGTTAAAATACTTCGTGATGCCGTATATGTTCCCATTCGTTATCGTTATGTCTCATCGTTTTTCTTTGACTTGTTGTTGGTTTATTGCTGCCAGGACAACCCAAGCCCCGGGTCCACTCTGGTACCCCAGGTCGGCGACCCGGGCACTGCCGGGTTATCCCCTCTCTCGTAAATATGAGGCTCCTGGCAGCTCCTCGTAAAAAGGATGTTTTTGTGTATTGTAAGAATTAATAACAAGAACAAAGTTTTGCAAGAAGTATTGGTGCAATAAGTCTGCAGTTTTCTAGAGTGTCACGTTCTTTCATTCTCATTTTGGTGATCGATCAATCCTTGGAGGAACTCCTGATATTCCAGAATAATTAAAAAATATGTATTTTTATTTTCCTGAACGTGAGCTGGAGGTCACTCTTCTTATGAAGTGACGTCTTCTAATTATCCATAATAATCTGTTAGATTATTAGCATTCACTTCAGCGAGCTTGATTAATTATTGCATAAGCTTCGTGTGAGAGAGAGAGATATACAAAACCAATCGTAATATGTTTAAAAATCTTTCTCTTTAGTGTGTCTAGATTAATCTTCGATATTATGAATAATTTTATTGTTCGTGGCATCTTTCATTTGCTTTTATTTTTTTGTTTTGTTTTTAAAATAAAACAAATTCTATGATACTTTTCTCAATTAATTCAGATTAGCAATCCAGTTTACAGGAGTCTTAAGATCGACTTGAAAATACAAACCAACCGCCTGAAATAATGAAATTCGCTGTTGTTGACGCCAACTTTATGATACTAATTAATCTCAACGGGAAGCCAGAAAACGCACATCAAATAAGCAACTGGAATTTGATTGAATTAATTGTCAATTATTAATATTGCGTTGCTAGGGTGGGCCCATTTCCGAGAGTTGACTTGGAATTTCATGTTAATATTTGGAAAGTAACTCAAATGCCTCGCAACACTGGAATTTGCTGTTAATGAAGGTAATTTACTAACTCCAAATTCCATTCTGGAGGGCGGCTGGACGGAATATGCATGTTCAGTGTTATACCAGCTGCCTCAGACACACCGCTGCCTTTGACCTCCCCTGGTCGACCTCGGCTGCATCTTAGTAAGACAACTGCACCAACGCACCCTCAAAGCACTGCTGGATTGAGTTACTCTGCGTTACCTTGGATAATTCCCCCCAAAGCGGAGAGGCCCTTAACTGTTGGAGATTAAGGTGGTCTTTCATCCCCGATTAAACAGGGCAGTAGACTTGCCGTTCCGGCTCATGTTCAGGACCGCATTAGTTGTTCATATGTTCATAATTAAAATTTAATTGCCTAATGGAGGGAAACTGTGTATAGGGAGAGAGAGAGAGAGAGAGAGAGAGAGAGAGAGAGAGAGAGAGAGAGAGAGAGAGAGAGAGAGAGAGAGAGAGACTGGAATAAGAAAGAAGTAGGATGTTTGGTAGTGAATTCTCTTAATCTACTTTTCACTTAGATTCAGCAGGAAATTGAAGTGCGCAGCATCGTCTATGATAGTCTGGCACTTTGGAAAATGTCTGGAGGTGGAAGGGGGGGGGGGGGTAGTAGGGAGAACGTCATTAGCTTGCATCATGTCTTTGAGAAGCTGTAAGATCACCAGCATCTGGAAGATTTAATCAACTCTGAAACAGTCTGGGAAGTAAAGCAGAAATACACATTTTAACTTGTTAGCAAACACCTTAGTTGGATATAAGTTATTTCCGATCCACATTTTACACTTTGCGACTGCTTCAACAAGTATTAACGCAGTTCGCAGAGAACCAATAGAAGCAAGACGCATTATAATAATTGATAAGATGAATGACGAAAACAATAACTGAAATAGTTTAGAAAATGAATAATAATATTACAAAGTCACACTGTTTCAACGTTGTCAAGGGGGTAGTCAACTAGCCTTGACGAGAGTGTAAATAGTTACGCGAAAGTGAAGGAAAACCTGTCAATAGCTGGACGCTGGCTAGTACCTCCCGCTTTGCGAGGGAGTGAAAACCCTGAACTAAACTTTAAATTGTATTTTCAGGATTACCTTCACTGTCGACAACTGCTGTCGTTTTCTCGTTCTCTGTACAGCAGCAATTTGGTCATAGATATGTGTATGTACTCACCTAGTTGTGCTTGCGTTGTCCCAAGTAGCGGTGTACAGATTCCTGAGCCTACTGGGCTCTATCATATCTACACTTGAAAGTGTGTATGGGGTCCGCCTCCACCACATCACTGCCTAATGCTTTCCACTTGTTAAATACTTATGTCTGTGTGTGTACTCACCTATTTGTGCTAGCGGGGGTTGAGCTCTGGCTCTTTGGTCCCGCCTCTCAACTGTCAATCAACTAGTGAACAGGTTCCTGAGCCTACTGGGCTCTATCATATCTACACTTGAAACTGTGTATGGAGTCAGCCTCCACCACATCACTTCCTAATGCATTCCATTTGTCAACCACTCTGACACTAAAAAGTTCTTTCTAATATCTCCGTGGCTCATATGGGCACTCAATTTCCACCTGTGTCCCCTAGTGCGTGTGCCCCCTTGTATTAAATAGCATGTCCTTCTCTACCCTATCAATTCCTTTGAGAATCTTGTATATGGTGATCATGTCCCCCCTTACTCTTCTGTCTTCCAGCGACTTGAGGAATAATTCCCGTAGCTCATAAACTATAGGAATTTTAGTTTATTCCTCAAAGCTCATACCTCTCAGCTCGGGTACTAATCTGGTGGCAAACCTTTGAACCTTTTCCAGTTTAGTCTTATGCTTGACTAGATATGGACTCCATGCTGGAGCTGCATACTCCAGGAGTGGCCTGACATATGTGGTATACAAAGTTCTGAATGATTCTTTACACAAGTTTCTGAATGCCGTTCGTATGTTGGCCAGCCTGGCATATGCCGCTGATGTTATCCTCTTGATATGTGCTGCAGGAGACAGGTCTGGCGTGATATCAACCCCCAAGTCTTTTTCTTTCTCTGACTCCTGAAGAATTTCCTCTCCCAGATGATTCCTTGTATCTGGCCTCCTGCTTCCTACTCCTATCTTCATTACATTACATTTGGTTGGGTTAAACTCTAACAACCATTTATTCGACCATTCCTTCAGCTTGTCTAGGTAACTTGTAGCGTGTGTGTGTGTGTGTGTGTGTGTGTGTGTGTGTGTGTGTGTGTGTGTGTGTGTGTGTGTGTGTGTCGTGCTTCAGGCAAAGCCATCCGAGTCTATTGTAAGCATGGATTGCCTCACACAACACTTTCAACACAAAATTCTAAGTGTGCGACGAACGGAAAAGTTAGTTTAGGGAGTCTCACAAGAGATCAAGGGGTCACTGTTAGAACTAAGATGTCAGAGAGTGTTTAAATTTCTCTAGGTTGATAGTTGTACTCTTTAGTTGATAGTTATGATATCAACTAAATAATTGTGCACAACAAAGATGTGATCTTGATCGATCGTACCAGATTAGATCAATCATCTAATACTGGTACTGTACTAATAATACGGTACAGTACTGAGGGTAATAATAATAAGGCCTGATGCTTTGTGCTAGGTACTGAATACTTAGATCCAGAACACAACAAATTAGACAATACATTAGATGTTAGACTGTTGAATAAAATGTGGGTTTATCGCTGAGCTTTAGACCTGAATTATAATTTAAACAAATTTTTTTTAGAGAAGTAGTAGAATCCTCTTTCAACTGAATTGAAAGAGGATTCAATGGAATAGCAGGTTTCACTACTTTTCGCCATGTCGTGGTATTGTGGTGTAAGGCGTGTGCTTGGAAGTTCCCAGGGCATAGGTTCGAATTCTCGTCATGGCTCCTACTGAATTTCTCATTCATTCATCTCGTTTATGAGATATCTGTGCAGAAAAAGGATCATATTCATTTATATAACCAAGAGAATATATGAGAAGAAATCCAGGAGACAAATAATGCAACAAATACAATGTTATGTATGCTATTTAACATTTTAACAAAATA